CTCTCTCTCTCTCTCTCTCTCTCTCTCTCTCTCTCTCTCTCTCTTTTGCACTCCTCTCTCGTCTTTCCTATCGTGCTTTTTTCCTCACGTCCTCCTTCTCTCACACTCTTACGTCCCGCTTATTCTGTGTACGTGTGTATGATTTAAGAATTAACATTTATTTTATTATAAATATACAGAAAATGTAATAGAGACTATAAATGAGACAAAACTACTGTTGATTAAACTTCGCATAAGTTTCTTTTCTCGTCTTTCTTTCTTTTCAGTGCGAGAAGCATGTGTTTCTTTTGCTTCAAGTGTAGAAAGTGTAAATAACAGCGACTACCGCTGTGAGATGTGAGAATAGTTTGTAACGCGTGTGAAGGGAAGAGAGAGAGAGAGAGAGAGAGAGAGAGATTCATTACAAAACAAGACCCGCGCGCGTGCTATACATAAAGCAGAAGAACATAAAGTAAAGTAACGTAAAGATGGAAGCGATGGATACGACAGTGGGTCCGCATCCGAGAAAAATGCATAATAGTTACGAGGACGAAGAAGAACGAAAACATTTTCAAAGAATCGTCGCCGCGTTCAGATATTACAAGTAAGTGTCTGATGAGAGAAATAGGTCGATGCCAATCCCCTTATCTTTCCTCTATGAACCTTGTATTCTCAATGAACATTGACAAGAGATGACCGGTTTGATCAAGTTGAAAAAACTTGTCGCCTTTTATCGAAATTACATCAATCTCAATGAGCTATTTGAGAGAGACATTGTTGTGTTAACAATTATTTATTGTAAGAATCTTAATCTCTGCAAGCTATTATTATTCATAGAAATCGTCCTCCATAATATATAAAACTCTATAAATAATATTTACTGAATTGCGTGCGTAGTATAAATTTACAATAACAATTATTTATGTGCGACACTTTTATTCATTTATAATTTTTTTTTTTTTTTACCTCTGCACAGAACACATTCTCTGCTGCGGGTAAGAAAAACAGAATCTTACTTTCTCAATCTACCGTCGCATCATCAGAAACTTTTATCAAAGTACAAGGAGCATCTACAAGAAATAAAACGATGTATTGAAAATAATGATCAAATTATAAAACTTATTATAAAAGATGTAGCCCATATATTTGAAAATGTATGCCCATCTACTGCACAAGTTGATAGCGTAAGAGATATTTATCTTTCTTATTATATACTAACGATAAGCACATCTTATATACTACAATCTGATTATCCAATAAAATTTTATCAATATTATTTGCATCATAATCAACATCTTGAAACATTGGATCTATTAATCATATTTTTATGTTATTTAAATTTACTAGTAATGTTTCATGCATATTTTCATAGTGTTCCATTGAAATATATATTGGTTTATGATTGCAGATACTAAATCCACGGTCTGTTATGGCAGACCAAGAGAAAGTTCAAGCCACCATTAGGCAGTTGGTTCGGGATTGGAGTGTGGAAGGTACCGAAGAACGAAAAGCGTGCTATCATCCAATCATAGACGAAATATTGTATCAATTCCCATTAGAACATTGGTATGATTATCTATAATTATTGTGTAAGCAGTTACTATCAATATATAAAGAAAATAGAGAAAAAACAAAGGAAACTTACAAAATGCTTCAGAGATTTTAAGCTATCATTTTTTCATCACAAAAGATTATTTAATAAAGTTGACAAATTTCTTCCATTTGACAATGAGGAAATTACAGTTTGACTTAAAATCTTAAGATGCTGCAGAAGCTTCCTTTGTAAATTGTATTACAACACTATAATATTGAGGAAAATATTGAATACATTTCAATTTTTTCAGGACGCCTTCAGACGTACATGTTTTAGTACCTGGCGCAGGATTGGGTCGACTCGCCTTCGAAATTGCGAAACGAGGATATACTTGTCAAGGAAATGAATTTTCCTTGTTTATGTTGTTTGCATCAAACTTTGTATTAAATAAGTAAGTGATAATATAACAATATTGTTTATATCAATTTGCCTAATAATAATAATTGTTTTTTTTTTCAAAATAGGTGTAGGGATGTAAACTTGTATCAAGTACATCCATGGGTACATCAATATACAAACAATTTGAAACCAGAACATCAAACGCAAGCGGTTTCCTTTCCCGATGTAAGCCCAAGTGATCTTCCGGGAACCGCACAATTTTCTATGACCGCGGGTGACTTTCTAGAGGTAAATAAATATACAACGTCATGTCTATACAATATCATGTATAAGTGTAATACTAAGATTATTAAAATCGATACACAACTTATTCCAGGTTTATACAGAAGATAATCATTGGGATTGTGTCGCGACATGTTTCTTCATAGACTGTGCCAATAATGTTGTGCAATTTATCGAGACAATCTATAAGATTCTGAAACCAGGCGGAATTTGGATAAATCTCGGACCATTACTATATCACTTTAGCGATTTACCGAATGAAGAATCGATCGAGCCGAGTTACGACTCTATTCGTGATGTTATTCTGGGCTTTGGCTTTCAATTAGAGGTAAAATTTTTCTTTTCTTTTTTTTTTCTAAGTATGTTTATGAAAGTAGCATATATATTTTCAGAAGGAAAAAACGCAGGTAAAGACCCGTTACGCTCAGAACATTAATAGCATGTTACAATGCGAATACAATAGTGTATATTTTGTATGTCGAAAACCTTATGAACCTGACAGCACAAATCGCAATGGCGCTGCAACTAACGGTATGCAAGAACAAGAGAACTGAATAAAGCAAAGTATTTTACTTGTGAAGAAACATATTGAACATTAAAAAATTATTATTTAAATGCACTCAAATTTCTCACATTATTGTGTGAAATAGTTCTGCGACTGCATAATACATAAAGCTTATATTTTTTCTTTTTTTATCCTGAATTTTTTTCAATTTATTTAACTCGTTTTATACAAGAGTTTTCAATGGTACTATGATATATTGTCTGAAGTTTCAGTATCTTCACGAAAGCAATAGATATTATTTTGTGAAATTTATCAGTGTACCATAACTCCAGACAAAAATATCTGATCTATTATATATTTTTGTTCATTGTATTATGATTGGAATCAAAAGTATATACTCTGACAAAGATTTAGGAATATTTAAAAACCAGTGATTCTCATACACACACACACAGCATACATACATATATATATATATATAATTGTACACGCACGCGCAATGTTATTACATGTATGTGTGTGTATGTGTATAAAGTAATTATATTAAAATTAGAAAATGAAACAAATATACCCAATACATTTTTCTCTGCTTTATTATAAGTTTTTATTGAGGTATTGTACAAATAATGTGGCAATATGATCGATTCTACTTTGCTGCATTTTACTATAAGTTAAAAACTGTCTCCGTAATCTCATTAGTTTCGCTGGTGTGCCTGTGCTTTGTACAGTCACATTGGAACCTGGTATCTTTATATTGTTGTTTATTCCCAGTTGTTGCGCCGATAATATTGCCTTTGTGATAGAAGAAAAATATGTGTTTATTATTAGTGCCTACCTTAATAATTTTACAAATCTTATATTGTATGTACAATGAAAGTGTTATAAAAACAAAAAAAGAGCAAAAAAAAATGTGACCATTATGCACTCAGATTTCAATATATAATAATGAATTCTTTTTATCATTGATATTACAATTGTAAATAGCTATATGGAATCACTTACGTTTATTACATCTTTTGTTATTGTATCTAATTCATACAAATAATTCGTAGATGCTAATGGTGGCTGAAAATATAAATATTTATGTAAAATATTGGACACTGGAAAAAAAGAAGAAAAAAAGGAGATACTGACACATTGGGTACTTTGATTTGGTTTTGGTGATTTAACTTGGTAAAGCGATTTATAAATTTCATCGAACATTAATTCGTCTTCTGGTGTAATTGCAAAAAGTGGATAATCCCATCGGTTTTTACTATCTGGCGTTTCATATCTATCGAGGAGTTAATATTTAAACATTTATTATTTAACAGATATTTTCTTGACAGATTTCTTGTAACTATCATTATTATTATTGTGTAATTACCTTGCTACAAGTGAGTCAAAAATTTCTCTACTATATCGATCTAATTCGACTCGTTTATTGTTCCACAACCAAGCATATTCGACTGGTATATCACAATGTATTGTGCATTGAGGAGTCTTGTACAGTTTGGTCATACAGTAAATTTCGTACCGATATCCTTTGATGTAATTGCTACCATCAAATATCAATAGATCGCGTGTGTTGAGCCTACGTTGAATGTCCGATTTTATGGCGCTTCTAACAGCTTTTTCTTTTTTGGAATCTAAAACACACACAATGGATAAAAAATACATTTAGACTCAACATTGAAATATTTGTAAAACATCGAATTTTGCTCTATATTTACCCGCGTAAAATACATTTTTATCGTAGCCTTCCTTAATTATCGCATCGTATTCGCTAATTATTTCTACATTTTGTCCACTATTCTTTAGCATGTTCTCAAAATACTTCTTCAATTCAAGACTTCTCGTTGTTTTACCGCTGCACGGGTTGCCAGTTATTATTATCAGCGGCATTTTAGCATAATATAACAAATATCTGGATCAAAGGAAGTTCAATCCTTACATATTCACATTCTCTAACTTCTTACAAGAATATAAATTATGTAAATTTCTAACGAATACAACATATTATATACAAATTTATTTATAATTTACAGTTTTTTTGACGTTACAAAATCATATGAAGGATCGGTTGGAGGTTAGAGTGACGAAAAAATTCTGAATTGATCTTGGAGACCTCGCGCGGTGACAATGTGAAACTATAGTTTCAGAATTACCAACACTGAGAAATAAATTCTCTAATACCTAGGGTACCTAGCATAATTGACAGAGGATTCTGTGTCCAATCGTGACGTGTAGAAATTCTCTATTCGATAAAGTCGGCATTTGATTGGTTTGTTTATGTGAGTGTGTAAATCTATTCAGAATAGGCCTTTATTAATAATGTAGCTTTTGAATATGTTTTCATATGCATAGAATTGAAGAGAGAGAGAGAGAGAGAGAGAGAGAGAGAGAGAAAGAGATTGAAAAGAGAGGGAGCAGATTGAAAAGAAATAGGGTGCGTTCGAGGAGCACGCTTTTAGCGCTATGAGCATGCATTGTCCTTGTTCAACTTTCCATAAATAACAAAGATAGAACGACGCTTTTAGCGCGTAAGCGTGCTTCCCGAACGTAGCCATATTGAAAATTGCAAATTGCAGGGACGCACGTTTTGCAGATTAGCGTTGATCCGTGTTTCATTTCTTGTGTATGTACAGGTTTGGTCATGGATTTTTGCAAACTATGGATACGCCTGTAATGTTCCTCCGTGATGTTTTATGTATTCGACATTTCATGTGTTTGCCGGTTGTTGCATTCTTGCCCGACGCTGCATGTTGCACAGAGACTCACGATAAAACAATGACTGAACTTCTCAGGTAAACGTTTCAAATATTCTTAAATCGCTAATTACAAACTCTGCTAAATCAAGCTTGATCATTTCACGCATTTATAGGCCAAATTTAAACTCGAATTAAAACTTATCAAAACGCGCGAAATGTGTTAGAAATATTTATCGTTGTAATTCGTTTGATATTCATCTCTTTTAGGTTTTTGGCTCTTTGCAACTGCAAATCTTTTATGTGGAAAAGGTCTATAATTGTTCTTTATATATTAATTATTTATATACAATCTTACTGAATGCAATATATTTATGTATCAAAATATATATCCTTATTAATTTGGAAATTTTTTATTTAATTTCAGTCTGTATAGTGAAATCTTATTAGATAATTTGTGAAACACATGGCAGGAAAAAAATTTTTGGATTATCATACATCTTGTATAGATGACAATGATGAAATCGAAGATCTTAATGAGAAACTGTTGCAACTGTTATCTGCACAAAAGATCTTTTCTCAAATTCCCAAAAATCAATCGTATGATGGTAGATTAAAAAATATTAGTTCCAAAGTAGGATTCAAAGCATCCGCTTCTTCATTATTCGGCCATTGTAGACACGAATGTTCTCTTTTACATCATGATAGTCCAGTTAATATACCAACTTTACCCATTCAACATCTTCCACCCATTGGAGTATTTTGGGACATTGAGAACTGTCAAGTTAGTTTGCTAATCTTTTCTCTTATCTAAAAGATGTATCATTAATATGATATTATACAATTATGATCCTTTGCGATATTACAGGTTCCTAAAGGCAGATCCGCCATAGCAGTTACACAATTAATTAGAGACAAATTTTTTAATGGCTATAGAGAAGCAGAATTTATTGTAGTTTGCGACGTTCAGAAAGAGAATAACCAAATTATACAAGAACTGAATGACGCTCAGGTAAAATGGCTGCACAACATGATTTTGTCATTGGTGCAATTAATTTGTTAGCAAATTTATTTATTTTTCTTATGCATTTACTAGGTTAATTTAATACATGTAGCTGCCACATGTAAGAATGCTGCAGATGAGAAACTTAAACAGTCCATCAGAAGGTTCGCCGATATTCATGGCAGCCCAGCAGCTATAATTTTAATATCCGGTGATATTAATTTTGCCGCTGATCTCAGTGATTTACGTCATAGGAAAAAAATTTATGTAATACTGTTACATAAAAAAAATACTTCAGAAGCATTAATATTATGCGCTAATGAACATTATGATTTTATGGAGCTTACAGAGCCACTTCCATCCAGAACTCCAGCAAAGGTATGAAGACTGGTATGTGAAGATAATAATATTGACAAAAGAATTTTTTTATTTGAAATTGTTATAAAATAAATCATGGTATATACTTTACTTATGTATTTATTTCATAAATGATATTTAGAGTGTGTGTGAGTGTGTATATATATATATATATATATATATATATACACACACACACACACAGAGTATATATTTGCTTATATTCAAATGTATTTTGTCTTGTATATGTATGTGCACAATATTTGTTACACATCCTGGTACACATATGTATGATTTTTATAGATTCATTTATATTAACACACAGTACATATAGGGAAGACACTAGTGATTCTAATATACTTGTATAAATATACATATAAAAAAATATATGTATATATATTTTTTTCTGATGTATGACCATTAAATAACTGGCATAACATGTTTCAGTTAACATTAAAAAATAATTGAAATTATATATATTTACTAGTAATTTCCTAAAGTCAAAGCAATTAATGGCAGTTTATATATAAACTTTTATTAACTGATTTGATTTTACGAAATCATCAATGAATGTATATAATTTCAAATCTTTTTTTATGTTAATCAAAACATGTAGCCAATTATTTAATGGACACATCAATAATTCTGTATAAAAACGTCAATTGATCACTCTCATCATACATGTACAAATTGTATTAAAATTTACTAGCATGTATAATCTTTCCTCTGTATGTATATGTTTTTTTTTTTTTTTTTCCACCATACGAAATTACCCATGAATTTAACACTTTCAGGGTAATGAATCCTATGACCTTTTAGTTAGTAATCTTCCTGATGAGAAGGATGTTAATGTCATTAAGCGTCGTCTTAAGCAATTATCTGATAATTGCGGTGGTCGTGTAATAGATGTCCAATCAAATACTGCCATTGTACGCTTTACGTCGCACAGTTCTGCAGATAGGTATATATCTTATTAACTTTTTGATTGCCACAGAATACACACACATAAAGTTTGATTATTTTTTTTAACTGCTTAATTTTTGAAAGAGTTGTACTATTTTTTATTTTATATATTTAGTGTAATGGCCAAAAATTAATATATCAAATTTTATTGTTTGATAAATTAAAATATATATGCAGAATTATAGCTTAAATACTAACTAGAATGAACTGCGATTTTAAATAATTTTAGACAGCAATCGAAAAGTTGAAGTTATCGAAATTTACATTATCTTTTTGTTATTTATTGATTAGCCCATTTGTACATGAACTTATTCAAATAACCCGCCTGTATATCATGTAAATCAGCCTTTCACATTCTCTATTACAATAGATTTGTGTGTATACTTAAGTGGTAGTACTGCGTCCCATCAGGACGAGAATCCATATAGAAGAAGATTTATGTATATATATATAAGAGAAAAAGAAAGAAAAAGAAACATCATATATCTCCTTCATTACATACGGATGTAGTGGGGATGAAAAGATAAATAAGGAAGGTTTGAAATAACAGACAGTAACATAACGAACATAGTGAAAAGTCAAAGAATATTGTATAATAAGTTGTCTTATATTATTATACCTTTAGTACCACATACATATATCGGATAATTTATTATAAAAAGTTTATTTTTATACAGAATAATACACATATTATTAGTATTTATTATTTTATTTAAATGTTATATCATAATGTTGACTGATGGTTTTATTTCTGTTTGGGGTAAGTTATAGTATTCTTTGTCGTTGTTAGAAAAATTTGCGCCGTGTCTTTAATATTGAAAAATATATTATACCCAATATATATGTTCCTTGTTGAAATAAAATTTTAATTGACAATTTTTATTGTTTGCAATTCAAATGAAATCGTATATAGATATTTGTATATTCTTGTGCCTGCAAGGTCATTTATATATATATATATATAAGAAGGAACTGTTTCTATTCTGTTCAGCTGACTATACAATAACAATATGATTTCTCTCTTTTCTGTTTTTTGGTTTTTTTTTTTATTTTTATTTATTTTTTTTTTTTTATTTTGGATAGAGCTCAGAAACGGATGGAAGGAGAATATGTTCTTGGATCAAAAATACTTGTAAGATATCTCGGTAAAGAAAAAGGAAGTACAATTGGCAAAAATCTAGGTATGTTTGTTGGTGAAATTCTATCTCCAAATATGACGTACACACGGTACTCGATCGCTAAGCTTATTATAATTCATTATATTTTTTTCAGGAAATATTACAACACGAAGTCGGGCAGTCAGTGAATCGGAAATTGTTACCGACTCTAAGCAAAGCAGCTCTAAACAAATGTATGCTGCGAGTGCCTCTATATTAGGGACAAGAACCCTCCAATTCCCAAATTATCAAACATCACCACCTGTAGTCGGCGCTTATCCTGCTTTTAGCGCCCATTGCGCGCCCATCAATGCTCCCCCGCTATCAGGGTCAGTCTGTTAAATTTGCCATCTAAATCTATTTATCTAATAAATTAATACAATATCGTATTCTTCTTTTTTTTGTTTAAATGATGGACAATCCGAGAAAGAGCTCTAGAGTCGCGAGTAGATTGTTATCCTTGCTGATTCGGGCTATGAACTTTGAACTTTGATCTTATCTGATAAACTACTAAACAGATTTTATAAATGGCACAAGAGTATAATAAAAATATGTGTAATTTTAATATCTTTATCTTATGTTTTACAGAATGGTGCAGCAACCTCCCATATTTTTTGGGAGATCGTTTACAAATAATGATGTGAATTTTAATAGGACATATAATGAACTCGCTAGAGTGCAGTCACCATTAATTTGGCCAATTGCGGAACCTCATCAGTATAGCCATATATGGGAAGAACAATATAAAGTTAGTTTCATGTAGATGAATATTTTCAAATTTGATCATTTTTATTATCTGTTTTTTTTTGTATGTAATTTTGTCCCTGTTATTATTGGCTTGTTGTTGTGTTTATTGCAATGTTCACACTTGTATAATAAATGATAATTTAAAGGTGGAGAAGTCAAAGATATCAGGAAAACGAGCTCATATCTCGCAGGTTCGGGATAATAATGTTGCTATTGGTATAACTTCTCGTACTCCTGAAGGGCTTAGACGCATTAGAGGTACACACGGTTCTTTTGCTTATGCTTCCGAATGGGTTGGAGGTCGACAGTCGTATAATTCATTAGCTGTTCCACTTAATTATAATGGTAATAGTTCGAAATCAATTTTATTACTTCAATTGCATCTCACAATAATTAATGTTATATATTATTGTAAAACAATAGGGCAATCCAACTCTTTTAAACGGCGTAGTCCATCTCCTCTATATGATGCACCAACTAGAGAAAAAAGTGCATGGCATAGTCAGGTACAAACATAATTTTTTCTTTTTCCTAGTGTTTAATACAATATATTTAGAGAAATAAAAAAAAGAAATGTTTTCTGTTTTAGAATCAACAGCAAATTTCTACACGGAACAACAAAACACCATCCCCTTATGAAAATAACATACTACAAGGGACAGGACAACACAACCAAACCTCGCGTTCTTCGCATCTGAGTGATGCAGAAAATGAAGAAGTAGAGGTATTCCTTCTTTAATTAAAAATTAAAAGTTAAAATTTGCTTAAATTGAAGTTAATTTATTCTTGTATTTAATTTCAATTTCAATTGTTATATATTTCTCTCTCTCTCTCTCTCCTCCCCCTTCCTTTTTTTTTTTTTTTTCTTTTAGAAATTTTGTAATCCTATAAATAATCGCAATGGATCTAGCGCTAATAATGGCACTAATACACCTATCGAACTGCAAGTGACAAATTTAGATCAAAGCATCGATATAAAGGATATGAAACGGATTCTTTCGTCTGTATTCATGGAACATGTCTCAGTAAGTAGCAAGTTTATTTAATTTATTATACAAAAAGTCGTAATTATATTATTCTATATATATATATAATTATTATATTTTATTATATATATTACCTACATATATGCATTACATGTTATACGAGATACTTAAAGAGATTTTCTTTCTCTTTTTTTTTTTTTTCAGAGCTGTCATATTTCTGTATTTATGCAATCAGACGGTAATTTTGCCGCCAGCGTCAAAGTACCCTCGCTACCGGACGCACAATATGCAATTTCGCAATTACATCGACGTAAAATAGGCTATAAACGCATACTGATATCTTACGCTCACACTGGTGGAACAAATCCCCAACTTATCCGAGCACAAATCGTACTACTTTTGCAAGAGGTTCCGGGACACAAACTTCCACTATTCAAGTTCCGCGAAATGTACGAGAGCCGGTTTATGATCTCTGTAAGCGTCTCCGAATTATATAAAATGAAAGACGTATGCGTAATTACTGAAGATCCAAGTGGCAGAATGGTCTCGCTCAATCCGGATCATAGAAACACGCCATCGCCATGCAACACAGTACAGGTGTGCGATAATATTATATCATTATGCGAATATTATTTACAGCATCTATAAAATATGATGGATGAAAGCCGAGTCTGAGCTTTTTCGGTGATGGTAGAGCTTCCCTTAGTTTCCCTCACTGTTGAGAAGCTTTGATCACACTGTGAAGCGTACTATATCATGCTGAATTTATATTCTTTTATATGATAGAAAAGATTATATGTATTATACTTTAGACATAAAAGAGACTGAATAATGCTTGTAGGATGGACAAGTCAAATTGCCGTATTGTACAATCCATATCGCAAAACCGTTGTCTGACAAAGGTTGGGCAGAACAAGAGATGGCATCCTTACCTAATGTAAAGATCTCCTTAAAAGTTCTCGAGTCTCGTATGGAAGAATTATTAGCGTCGCACAATGGCATACTACCCTTACCAAGGTATATTTTCCATCATTTATTGCATTAATGAACCTTTGTATAGTTTACAGATGAATAACTATATTAAATAATAAATAATAAACATTTCTGTAGCTTATAATCATAAAAAATAAGTCATAAGCTTGTTTCGTGATGCTGATATTAATTTAAGATAGGAATCTTACAATCTATTAAATAATTTCAGTCTACCAAACTGTTACGAGGCTGAATTTAAGGAAAGGTTGGAAATTGTAGAACATGGTGTGCCTTTGGAACATTTGGTATCATGTTTATCATCTATTGAATTAAGACAAGATATTGGCAGCGTAAAGTATCTTGTGTGGGTAGGAAGAAAGGATCATGAAAGTAACCAGGATGGTAAATCTCTTTTATAAGTTTTAATTTTAAAAATCTAAGGTATGCTTATCAAAAATTTTCTATTATACCAAAATCATAAGACACACCTCACTTTTCTTTCAGAAAACAAATGCGTAAGTCCATCGCTCGCAAATCAATTAGCCCTTTTTAGTCGTGAATTGGTTGATCTTTTGAAAACCGCTCCACACTGCCAATTACCCTTTAATCGATTTATACCAGCGTACCATCATCACTTTGGACGGCAATGTAGAGTCGCCGATTATGGGTTCACTAAATTGATTGATTTGCTAGAGGCACTTACACACACAGTCCAAGTATGTAAATTAAATAGTACTGCAAATATATAAAGTGTTAACTTGGAATGATACAAATGATGTACAAATTGTATCACATATATATTTTTTTTTTTTTTTAGGTAATGGGTGAAGGCAATAAACGCATGGTTACATTATCGCACCGTGCTCAAGTACGTCGATTCACTTCGGATTTATTACGAGTACTCAAGTCAAAAGCGAGCAAACAAGTAGCACTATCGGAATTTCCAAATGTTTACGGTAGAGTAATAGGTATATAAAAAACTCTTTGCACATTTATTCGTATTCATAATTAAAAGAAAATAATTAATATCTCACACCAAATCATTTTGTAGCAAAACCGTGGGATATTGTGGATTACGGCGTGTGCAGTATCGAAGATATTCTCGGTGAAGTGTCTGAAAACACAGTTGTCGTAACATCTATTGAGGGCGGCGATAAAATGATCGCTATTCCCAAACGTGAGCAGACTGTGGAAGAGATGGAACGAACAAGATTGTTTGCTAAGGAAGTACGTAATTTGCGAATTATCGAAGAAAGCTCTGAGATCTAAGTATCTTTTAAATTAAATTCTTCAAATTAATTAATTTAATAAGTTAAATTTTTTATACACAGGTTGTCGAATTACTACAACATGCACCTCAATGCAGAATGTTGTTCAATAAGTTTGTACCTTCCTATCATCATCATTTTGGTCATCAATGTCGAGTATCGGATTACGGATTCACCAAATTGATCGAATTGTTCGAAGCAATTCCGGACATAGTTAAAATCGAGGAAGTTAATGGAGGCGAGAGACAGATATCTTTAACTGAGATAGAGGGTCTTAAAGTTCTCGCCGAACAAATATCGAAATTGGTAATGCGCGCCAGAGGTGGCCTCATGGTCTCGAACATCGCGCAAACGTTTTTACATCAATTCGGCTACGCATTACGTCCCGAATTATTCGGCTGCAATTCCATGTTACATCTTATGCAAAAGCTTAGAGATACCATTCAGGTAACACGATATCATGTCGATCCAGCGATGTCTCTCGATAGCATTTCAATTTATTTATATCAATTATATCTGGATTTTCTTCTTTCGTCGCAGATCATAGATTTGGCCACAGGACCTGCTATTATCACAATAGACAAATCACATTTGCAACAAACAACTCTTCAATGCCGACGCATACTGATGGACCAACCTCAATATGGAATGCCTGTTAAGGAATTTGTTCAACAATACTCTCAATATTACTTGAAGCATGAATCTAAGAGCAAAAAGCAAGAATTTAATCTAGACAAGTTTAGAAAAGATCTGGCGAATGTTGTTCGGGTATGTATAAATTTAATACATTCGCCTAAGCTTGCTTCATCTACATACTTTTGCTGTCTAAGCTTTCGCAAAAGTGCAAAATGATCATTCACACTACTGCTTAAAATGCCCTGGTTAAAATAACACTCTGACGCGGTCCAGAATATATGTATTGCATTCTAAGAATATATCTTGTAGTTTACAGTGGTAAATGGCGAACAATTCATCGAACTCACACCGTTACATCGTTTCGCCTGTGATCTTTATCGTGTAATAATGAATTATGGTGGTACATTAAACTTGTCGCAGTTTGATGTATCATACTCGACTATCATAGGGTCACCTTGTAAACCTGCACAATATGGTTTTCCAACAATAACTGCACTTTTACAAGCATTACCTTGCACCGTAACGATAAAGGAAACAAGGAAGAAAGAAGCAGTTATTTATTTAAATAAAAAATTGGCTGGTAATAACAATCGAAAAATTTAATATTTCTATAATATATTTTTATATCGATATCGCGCTAATTTGAACATTTATTCTTTGCTAAGCTGCGGCCGGTATACTTTTACCAACGGTATATAAGCCGATGTTATCCTCTCATGATACGGATTCCAGCAACGATTCGTTTGAAAGTGATTCTTCTTACCGCGTAAATGTGTCAAATGCTTTGGGCATGGTAGATAATCACGAGAAATGGATAGATCAGTTGACAAACATTAATTCTTGGAAAGTGAAAGAGGATAAAGCTTTATGGTCGGAAAATCGTATCAAGCATTGGAAGAACTTGACAAGTTTGGAAGAACGCTCGATTAATTGGTCGGAAAGCGGCTGCGAGAGCTTCTTGAAGAGTTTAATACGTACACCGATAATGCAACATGACTTTCCTCCGCCACCACCTAAGCCCGATTCCCCGCCCGAGGTATTATTCTAATATACATTAATAATCCATCTTTTTTCTATCCAGGTGTTAGTTTATTAATAACTGTGTATTTTCTTTCGTAGGATACCGTATGTAAGGAAGAGCATTGGAAATCGTCGCTATGGATGTCTCCAACGAAATTTACATATCCGCAAGACGAACATTCGACGAACGTACAGGTAATTTTTTTTTCTTTTTAGGATATTTGTATTTGAGAAATAGCGTTTTCATTTCCTTTAATGATATATATTAATTTTTACCATTTTAACTACTTTTTTAGGTTCCTCCGTTAACTTTACCGAGCTGGAACCAATTACTGTCCGGTGATGGTACATCGGACTTGCTATCACCAACGAAAAATCTATTACCTGCTGCTGCGAATCCTTTGTACCTGCCTACTTCTCCTTACTATTGCAAGTCTGTTGTTGCGCCACATCCATCTGAACTGCCGCTTCCTTCTTTATCCCTAACACCCAAGAAGAAGATATTGGTAGATAATCAGAAGAAGATTGCCGCGAGAACACATCTCAATCTTGCAAGTTCCGAAAGCGAAGATAATACTATCGATGATGATGAGAGCAGCGATAGCCATAGCACTTCTAGTAAGTTCCGTAAGTAGCTGCATTAAAAAGAAAAAATAAATTCTTTTATAACTAATTCTATAATATATGTGTGTGCTCAATTGCATTGTAAAATATCAGAAAACTATTAATTACAGTAACTAAAGGCAAGAGACGTTTGGCAGCCCAGTTTAACCAGCCAATCGAGCCATGAGCAGAGAATATACAGAAAGAGATGTTAAAAAGTGATAAGCTCAGGATCAAAACTGATTGAGTTTGATAAATTTTATGCTTGAAAATAGTAAGAAACTGCAAAATTCAACATTACGGTCTTTCGGTTACCACCTAAGATGGATTAGATTACCTATATAATTATTTCACAGATGTGGTAGGTACCACACACTTTATTTATCACTATATTTACTCAAAATTTATAAGAAATTTGTGTATAGAGTAAATGTGTATGTAAATGTGTATGTGTGATAGAGAGAATACTGCTTATAAGACTTGAGTTATTTTCAAAGGGTATGAAAATATACATCGAGTAAATATGTGATTGCTATAATCGGGATTCTAATATCAAATGCGTGAGTGATCGAGTTTATACCGAGTGACATGTGCTGATGGTTAGGAAACACGTAGCATTTTTCGTACTGTGATATAGGATATAAAAAAAAGCAAGATGATATGATACATTAAAAGAAGGAAAATTTGGATGGCAATAATTAACTTTCGGCAAATCACACTCGAGAAGCATGACGCAGTATATTTAATTGAGATTTATTACAATTTAAATCTTTTTATATTGTGCCTCTAATACACATTTTTTATTTGTATATTATAGATATAGATTTTTTAATCTTATTTATGTTTTTTTGTATTGCGTATATACGCGAATTTACAATCAATTTTTACTTGATTGTTTCGACCAGTTAATAACACACACATAATCATGGGATAATTTATATCTGATTTTAATTTTGTTTGTGAAAAAATGCGCGAGGAAAGATTAAATTAGATTTCAATAGTTATATCAAGTATTAATTAATTTTATCTTGTAAATAAATTATTGTTAAATCGCTTCTTTCGATTTGCCTACATTCACATTGTCAACAGCAATGTGAATTGCACTCATGGCTGCGTTCCGTTTCATGCATGATGCGCATAATGCATAACTTATCCTTATTTAACATTCGGTGAATAACAAAGATAAGTAATGCATCATGCGCATCATGCATGAAACGGAACGCAGCCCATATAACATATTATATGTCTGAAAAAGATATTGTGTATAATTGTTGCCAACTAAAAACTAAGTGAAAATTCTCCTGTCCGCCATGCATTTTCATCTGTATAGTTGTTCATCTTAATCGCCTTATAAATTTTCTATTTGCTCCATTTTTCATTTGTTCCATTGATACATTTTTTACAGCTCAATGTATAGTTTTTCAAATGTGTTATAAATGAATGAGACAATGTTATGAATATATAGCGATTATGTAAAATTGGAATGATACGATGTATAAGCTGTTCTCACATGATTTCACGATACGTAAGAAAAAAAAAAAAAAAAAAAAAAAAATAATTTTATTGGTAAAAAAATCTTTGATGTTTAGAAATTAGTACTATTATTTGATATAGCATGATCGAAGAATATGTAGCAGGATGCGACACGCGAGATAAAATTTTAACAAAGATCGTAGAGACAAACATCATTGTCCGATACTATTAAATAACGATAAATACACAAAATTTTATTAAAAAAGAGACGAAACAAATGTAGAGTAATTGCACCAAAAATATATCAGCAGCCTCATGTTGCGCAATCCTTCTTTCTTTTTCATTCAAAAAGGAATAATGAGTATATTGTGACAGAATTTTTGTAAAATATTCTGTTAATGTATTAAATGAGTAATATAAATCATAATGTATCATGAGAATGTCGCACTATTTGAATTGTACAGGCGAATGAGTATACTGATCTCATTTTTAATCTTATATTTTGTGCTCGTAAATGCGATATGGATGTGTAATAATTCGCAGCGTGAAAGGATTAATTATAGATTGTACTGGATTATTAGGATTATTGCTACAATGGATTTTTAAGTTTCATGCGATACGATTTGTCAATTTATTCTTTTTTTAGTACGTTATTTTTTAAAAAAGTGAAGAATTTAAGAAATATGATGCTTGCGCTATCTCCATTGGATTATCCGAAAATTTGCGATACGTTAAATGACAGTCGAGACATCGAATGTTATTTAATTATAAGGATCATAGTATTTACATGACTTTCTTCGAAATATTTTGTTTAATTTATTTGCACTAAAAAAAATAGTTTTGTTACATGTTATATATTTATATGTCTAAAATAATGAATTCTTGTATTTTATATTTACATGAAAAATTTTGTGCATACATGTGTGTTTTGTAGAGAAACTTTTAATTCATTCAAACAGAAATATCTTATGAATGTGTAATGTATGCTACTACATAGGATATTTCAATGCAAATAATTGTTTTATGCCCTAAATATTATATTGTATAAGTTTTACGTGTACTCAATTTACTTTGGCATTCTAAATAATGGATGAGTAATCTGATTAAGAAAATGTCAAGATAGAGAAAATTGTAAATGAGATTAATGCGTATAAGATGATTTTAACTCAATAACAAACAAAAGAATGTATAAATCATCAATGGAATCGCGTGTAAATGAGTATTTCGTAAATTAATTTGATATACATATGTACAATAAGTATAATCTTTTTATATATTGTACAATGAAAGAATAAAAAGAGATTAATTCATTCAATATTTGAGATATTTGCTACAGATACATATTCTTGTTCTATTTATATTGTAAGATAACAATCTTTATAGATGCAAAGAAGAAATGAGTAAAAATTTTGATAAATTATTTTTATTATCCCGCCTTTTTCAATTCACAATATATATATATATCTGTACATTAATGCAAACCTGCAATTCTGGCCCATAATATGCGAATGCGTTTGCCATTAAATTATCATCTACAATGTCAATATAAATTGCTATGCCTTAGTCGCTTGATCTCTCATGCCACTACCTACTGGACCATGACGGCGCTCCCAAATCAAACGATGTTTCTGCTTCATATATGCATTTTTAGCGTTCAAACCTATGCCCATATCGCCATCTGCGGAATTTGTTACAATATATTTAAATAAAGAGATTGAGATGTTTAAAGTTTTTCTCATTATATTATTTTTCTCTGTATATCATAACTCCATTTATTATAGTAGCAATACTTGCATTTTGTAAACCATGCAGCAGTCGCGTCGAAGTAGGTCTTCTTTAAATCATCGCATAAATAATCGTCATCGCCGTGATAAAAAGCACACTGTTCAAAACGACTTCTCAATATGAATAAAATTTCATCATCTACCGATCTGTTAGTAAAATTTGGTTGATTTAATATACTCGAAACAAAGTATATCTCGCAATTATAATATTGACCGTCGTCTCAATATTGTCAATAGTAAACAAATAGTTTTCCTTCTCTTTTTATTTTCTAATATTTCATAAAACTTACTTATCGCGCATGAATTGACAATTTGCCTCGGTATAACAGACCACATCGTCGGTGTAACATTCGTCAATCGTTGGTACACGACGGTATTGTTGATGATACCATGGATATTTCTTTTGATTCGGCACTACGAATTTCTCTGCAATTAAAAAAAGAAACCATTTGTTTATAACTATATATATAAAAAGAGAGAAATACATAACCCAACAAATGATTAGATAATACCTCGGATATAAGTGACTGGCGTATCTAATACGTAATATACGGCATTCGCAAACTTGAATATCGGATTATCCTTCTCTGCCATTGTTGTGCAGAGTAAATCAGACAGAATCAACAATGACAAATAAAATTTCTTTTATAAAGTTGCTTTTTGTATATACAATTTGTGCGATTTGCACGCACTCAACGGGAGTATGTATAATGTATATAATAAGAGGTCTGCTGTCTGCTCTTTATAACTGAACTGAATAATGCTTATTGGCCAGTTGAAAATGAAGCCCTTTGATTGGTCAATCGTGTTGATTACCCTAGGCTCTCTATAGTACTACTGGCGCCTATTCCAGTGCACACAAGATGGAATCCAGTAGCAGGATTCTCTAAACATCTTAGCGACGGTTATCGTTGTCGTTAGCGAGCGATAGCCTATGAGAATTGCGCTTTTCACCAGAATTGTCCTTGCCATTGGCTGTCGCCATTTGACGATACCGAAAACTATCGATAACAAGTTACTGAATCCCGCTACAGATCGAAAGGAATTGGCTATGCCATCTTGTTTTCATTTCCATATATCGATTGAAACTCGTCAAAATATGAAACTGTCCAATTAATCAGACAGGACAAGAGACAAAAATTTCCGTTTTAATCGATCAAGGCAACACTGAATGCTCATCCAGATTTTAAATCATTCTAAATTTAAAAGTACATATATAGACATACTTGAATTTGGAATCTACAAAAGCGCATATATTATGCATATATATATATATAT